GTTTAACTAACTTTTTCGGAGTGTTGTGATCAGTAAATAAATCTACATCAATCAAAAAAATCTCTGTGAATTTGTGGTTTTTTTTTCGTTAATGGAATCGAATTTTATTGTATAACCTTATTAGTAACGAAAATACTGCAGAAAGGAAAAAATCAAAAAGTTACTAACGTGAAGAGGTATGGTTGTGCTAATAAATAAGAAGCAAATATGACTTAAATCTTACACGATTTACTACTTTCCTCCAAACCAGTGTGGCTTTTAGAAAAAAAGGTCAACCAGTTGGAAGAAAATCATGCGATGCAAAAGCAGGCAACCGATACAGATCGAGGAAAAATAGAGGATTCTCTAGAACTTTTAACATCCCGAAATCCGGAGATGTGCGTAAACCAAGTCCCTTGATTTCGGGAGTTTCGTTATTTTCTTGTATTGCTGTAATTTAAGAAAAATTAAATAAATGTTTGTTTAGTTCTGTAAGATTTTATTTCAAATCACAAGAAACCCGCTGCTTTTTATTATGCATAATGGCATTCAATGATTTGTACGTTTCTAAGATAACACAGACATTTTTCAGACCTAGGGATCAGGTCATACTTTTCCAAAGGCTTTTGATGCCCTAAATCTGAAACAGGAATCAGTTTTGCTCCATTAGCTCACGTTTACGAGATAATCGAGCCCAAATCTGCACGATTTTTAAATATTCGAACTGAAATAAATTTTGCCTTACAGTTTTAGGCTTCTTTATTTCCATTGTTAACATACCAAACTGCATACGTGTGTTAAAAAAAATAGATACAATTTAAAATAAAAAATATATATATGTATGTGTTTATATCTTTCTCGATTCACTTTGGCCAGGGGCCGTAACAGTTACAACTTTTATTTTAAAAAAATCGCTCTTTAACAGTTATTTGTTTACTTTTATTTAATTACTCCTTAAATAATAGTTATTTCTGATTTTTATTTAATAAATCCAAAATAAGAATTATTTTTCATTTTTATCTAAATAATCTACAAATAACAATTTTTTTGATTTTCAAATCAAATGGCTTAGATAACAGTTACTGAAGACATGGCAAAAGTCACTAACTGATTTTTATTGACGACCTTTATAAATAAAAGTCTTCGATAACTGTTATCTAAGACATATAATATATAAATCAAACAGAACTGTTATTTTGGATTCATAAAATAAAAATCAAAAATAATTGTAATTTTGGATTCATAAATAATTGTTGTTTTTTTTTTAATTTTCATAAAAATTAGAAATAAATTTTATATTCAAATTTGCTTCTCGGTGAAAAAAAGAAATCTATTGGTATGTAAAATTTAGTTGCAGAACATATCCTTCATAGTGAATTTTTCAATGACAGTTTTCATCAATAACTGTTATGTTCGGCGCCTGGTTTTGGCTGTTACGAACAACCGTTATGCCAAGAAAGCTATAATTCGCCTGTGCACAAGTGCGCTCGGGTATAAAAATCAATTTAATTAACAATTTTAATGATGACATACATATGTATGAGAGTCATTTTGAAAAAACTTTGTTAAGTTGATAGAAACCGCTAAATGTACAGAAGTGGCATAATTTTCTACAACTAAAACTTGCGTTTATATGGTTAACGTCTGAACTGCATTTGAATTTAAAAATAATCAGAATAAAATAAAAGAAAAATAACCGAGAAAAAAAGCCCAAAAACCATTGTCCCTATTCAAGTGCTTTGAAGTGTTGATGAAAAATATTTGCATTTAAAATTGTGGTTTTTTAATAATTGCAGACTGAATGGGAATAATTGCAGACTTAATGAGCCTAACTAAATCACTTTTACTAACTTCCAATGAAAACTTATGCGTAATCATATAGATCACGTTTTAATGCAATTACAAACATATTTAAATTCAATTACAAATCAATTAAAAAGAGATTGTCAATAGCTCATGTGTATTTTTTATAAGTTCAATTCTTCTGTAGCTTTATTTTGCGGTTATCGTTTTGTTTCTAACTCATTCAGATTTCGTTTGTTATGTATTACGCAGCTTTGCTTTTGGTACTTTTTGCTACTGCGGTGCGTACTTTTCCTGCGTATTTACATAAATTGAAATATATAGACAATTTTGTTACATTTCTTTTCTAAAAAAAAATTTACTATTTTTTTCAGGTCCACTGCTTTATTTTTTATAAAACAGAGAAAATCGAATGCTTTCCCAATGCTCGATACATAAGGAATTCTACATGTGGCATAAAGGCAGTCAGTCGCTACCGATCGCACACGAATATGGAATGTGATATTGTGGATCGTTTGAAAAATGTTTCGGTAATGTCTCATGTGCATAAGAAATACATATAAATAAGTGTATGTATGTATATACTGTATAACACTATAAATGAGTGCCACATTCTTAAACTAATAATAATTGCATATACAATATCACTTCTAACAGCTTAATTTGCAACTTTTTCTGCGAAATACCGCCAATCACTACAAACCATTTCTAGTCAATGTCACCGCCAATTTGTGCAAAATTCTGGATAGACGAAACTTTCCCGCCTACACAACAACCGTAATGAATATACTAAAAGAAGTATCGAATGTGAATCATAGTTGTCCATATACGGTGAGGAGCTTTTTGTTATTTGGGGTTAACACTGAATCCAACGTGGTACGATTTTTTGTGAAATACAAGAACTGAATTTGAATAGCTGCGAACTTGACATGCAGGTGTACATACATATTTGTACTTTCAATCCATACGTTCATAAAAAGCTTTAATTCGAATTCAGTGAATGCATTTTCTTAAGCAGGGATTACACGATTTGTTCATTTGTATAGATTTGTACAATTTAACAGTTGCAAAGTTGTTGGGGTTATTGGGACAATTTTTTATTGAACTGAACTCATTGTGAATAAAAATTTTTAGACAACAACCCATTGTGATTTCCAAAATGTACAAATCGTGTGATCCCAGCATAAGATTTCACGAAAATACGGCTGCGAGGGATTTAATTAAAGCTCCGATTTTTTTAACCCAAGTTCTTTTTGCCATTTCATTCTAACTCGCTCTTCTTCAGAAACGCCTAGTGGTTAAAAATCTCTTTATTGATGACAAGTTTTTACCCATTGAACCACCCTTGGGACTCTATAAGGGTGTTTTCCATTTCTTCGAAGGATTCCCCTACGATGATATAGGTACGGTCATACTTTATGTACAGGCTATTGAAGTGAAGCAATTTAAACGACGTATAAAAGCACCGAAATTACGAGCACACTCGAATTTGAAATAAAAAATTGGCAATTAAAATAAAATTTGCATTAATATCATTTGCCATTAGATGGGCGGATACAGAGTGAGTCGATGGAGCGATGGAGCCTCCCAGGGCTGCAAAATTAGAATTTCGGTTAAAATAAATTACCTCAAACGAGAAACTTAAAAACAAATTGTGCTAAAAAGTTTTTTGCTCATTTAAATTTTAAATCATGTCGTCAGAAGTTCCAAGAATTTACCAGAAAGCGCTCCTGTACTCGGTTCTCTGGCAAAATAGGGGAAAGATGGGAGAGTAAAATGGGTCCTCTCTTTGTCAGAAGTTCCAAGATTTTACCAGAAGAATTTTTGCTGCTAAAATCTGATAAAGTGTTGTCAAAGTAAATAAAAACAGAAGCAACACGCCATCTTATTAAAAAATATCGTATTGAAAAAATGCAATAATGTTTTGTAAGTATTTTTGTTTATTTGCCTGTATATCTGCTTATAAATTTGGCAAACCGCAAATGATAAAAAAGCCATGTAAACAAAAAATAGCGTCTATCATGTATTTAACGGAATTACCAGTTATTACCCGGAAATCGTTTCCGTACTTTTGTGGTTATTTCTCTGAGAATATAACGAATAAGGGTTCATGTATATTTTCGTTAACACTCAGAGGGGTTTTTAAAAGTGGTAAAAATTATTTGGAGTGCTTTTCTGCTAAGTAATAAAAGAAAACACATCATACTTAGGAGTTTATATGGAAAACCCTAAATATGTACACTTATCTAAAGCTGGGTTCACACGATTTGTACATTTGGCTAAAAATTTTCAAATTCATGGGCGAACCCTGTGAACGCTAAATTTCATTTGGCATTTATCAGAACGTTCATTTTTCTGGCAAATCAAAACGAACCCTAGTGGCCAAATCGTATGAACGCAACGCTGCTACATAAACCAAATAAAAATTACGCAGGTGACCAAATATCTCATTTGTCAATTGATGACAAATCCAGTGACAAATATTTAAATATTGTTGAGCAGTATGGCCATTTTGTTAATTTGTTCATGCTTGTTTTTTGGTTAAATTGGAATATTTCATTCGAAAAACTGTCTAAAAAGATCATGCTATTCGAAAAGAATTGTCAAGAAGCTGCAGAGAGAAAAAAGATGCCGCCACGCTACGATCGGGCGCAACGCGAGTCATGTGGGAGCGTTATAGGGAGCTGGAGAGAGAATCGAGACGTATTTACCGCTTTTAGAAGAGAGAGGCCGAAATAAGTGAGTGCGAAGAGCTTGAAATTCTCGCCGACAGAAAAAAATGCGCGAGAGAGTTAGGTGACTTACTGAGGGTTTCAAGACCACGGCGAATTCCTGTAATAACAAGCATGGCGACCTAGAGACTGATGTCCAGAACGTACATATGTAAATTATGATTTAATACCAAAACAAGTTACCGAGAAGACGGTCCGCTGAATATACATAACTAGTGTTCGCTGTAGCCCAGTAAATAATACTGAAGCAGCAAGGCTACTTAATAATTGAGTGATATTGAAGTCTACGTCGCCGTACGCCCTATTAATCCAGGTCTCGATATTAGGGATGAGCCGAAGTATCCATCGGCCATTGCTATCCCGTCCCTCCTGCTATTCGGATAGATTGCGCCTTCTCGGAAGCGTTCGTGTGTTCTCAGACCCATGAACTCCATCCAGTCGGCGGCAATCGTCGCTACTGTACTATTTTCCAACCACGACGACTGCGATGCGAACCCTATAATTTTCGCTTCTGTAGGTACAACTAATTTCAACGCGCCATCGTATACTGTGTTCCATAGCAGCGGACCTAGAACCGATCCCTGAGGTACTCCGCCTGGGACCTTATGCCTTATCACACGATATTTTGTCTCACACAAGATGATTCCCTCGTAGAACCATAAAAGTCTGATGCACTTCAAGAATTTTTTACCAGTTGAAAGCATTTTTGACATCTAGGGTAAAAACGCTTATACAATGGCATGGAGACTCGTCACACTGCAGAAATGGAAAATAAACACAAAACGCCTAAAATACAAAACTGAATAAAAAACAGAAACATACTCGCAACCACAAGAAAAGTGTCAAAATGAAAACCAGCAAAATACTGCTGCTCAACTGTACGGCTATCACATATACCCCATATTCAAATGACACAAAATGGCAATAATATGAAAAGTTGCACAAAAAAGCAATAACGAGAAACCTAAAACGAATGTAATGCGATGATTGCGCAAAGTGTTTTGAATGACAGAGAATGTGAAAAAATCCACACTTAAGCATATGAATCGAGTGCATATTTATGTATGTACGTGAGTGCAGAGGAGCGGGTGAATAGTAAAAATATTATGCAAATGTGTTAAGGGTGTCGTGAGTGTATGTACATGGCGAAAAGGACTAAAAGCATACAAATACACATACGCATATAAAAGGTATGAGTGAGTGTCACATTAAAAGCAAAATCATATGAAACTGTCAAAATATCATAATATAAATTAATTTTGATGTGTCACAAAAGTCATGACAGCTGGCGGTGTATTGCCAACCAAAAAATCAACCAGCGGCTGCCTGTAAGGCGGTTCTGCCACTTTAAAAAATGAAAGCGATCATAATACATATACTCGTAATACATTTTACTTGTGTGCGATCTACTTATGTATGTATGTAAATGCCTCCATATAGTAAATGTTCAAATCAGAAAAAAGTTTCACTGAAAAATAATACTACAATTGGCACTTTAAATTGACGTTTATGCATAATTTTCAATACCCGGATTAAGTATTTCAATTTACGATTTGATATGTGGCATAAAAAATACAATTATTGGTAGGAGTGAACGTTAAGCTTTTACTTGTGAGAAGAGTAAAAATAATTTAATTATATAAGTTAAATAAAATAGAGCGGCATGAACAAAAAATTTTAGTAAAACATTTTAATTTACGCTTTATTAAAATTTTGAAAATGACTTGATTGTATTAGAGTCACTAAAAAGTCCTTACAATATCTAAGAAAAAAGAAATTTGGCAGGTAGAAATGGCCTTCTCAATTTTCCAGATATTTTGCAGCATGGTTTATACACTTTTTCTGAGTTTATCCTCGATGTATGGGTATAAAAAAACATGAGGGGCCAATTTAGGGCTGTGCACCATATAACCCATCAATTTGATGCTTTGAGTGCTTAAAAAATCATTTCTTTAACGAGGTAAGTGAGAGCTCGCATTTCTTTGATGAAAGACCATTTCATACCTGGGCTGAAGATCGACCTATCTCGGCGGCCAGTTCGAAAACGCCCTATCTCAGAATTCGGTTCGGTGACTTTTGCTAAAATTTCAAAATCAAAAGTTATCAAAACCAATTCTATGGGACTGAGAAATATTATTTTCTACTTTTTAGTCCATTGATAGAAGCGTGGTATATTAAAAAGTTTTATTTTTATTTTTAACCGACTTCACAATTTTTATTTTATTTTTTATGTATGTTACCGCATAACTTTGGACGACGTTAACCGATTTCTTGAATTCTTTTTTTTTTTTGACGTAGAATACGTCTTACCTTAAGGTATGGGGGTTATGTTCAAATGTTGTAGTTGTAATTTTTAGAGCTTCACAAAAACGCTTATTGCACGAGAACTAATTCGGTTTCTGTCGTAAAAACAACGGTAAACATTGCCTTATTTTGGGGTCAATTTTGAGCCTTTAAAGTGCTCTAGCAACTTATTGTTGGCATATATAACTTTCATTTTCGGGATATAGGTTCTTTGGAGCAGTAGAAATATTATCGGGTACAAATTTTATATAAATTTAACAAATATTGAGCATTTTAAGGCAAAAAATTGTTGAAAAAATGTGCAAATTTTTTTCATTACCAAAATGCTCGAAAACCGCTCGAATGATTTTGTTTTTGTTTTCTTTAATCAAAAACTCAAGAGTTTTCCTTTCGTTTGGTATATGGGAAGTATTGGTTGATATCTTCTAAGGATGTTTATTGGATTCAAATATATGGGCATAAATGATTTCCCATACAAAATCACTTCGTCATCACTTTGCAAACACGTGCATGCATTGCAAGTGTGGGAAGGAGACAAAAAGTATGTATGTGTGCGTAAGTACATATTTCGGTTTTTGATAAACAAATGGACCAATATTTATAACCTAATCACAGCGTATGTACCCGTACATATGTAAATACACACATACGTACATATGTTGATTGCAGTTAATGTGGATCTGGCTCAATTTTTTAGTAATCTATGTATGTCTATACATATGTACATACATATATCTATGAACACATGTATGCATAATACGCGAAAACTTTTTGAAGTGAAACAACACTTGAAAAAAGACCAATCCAAGAATAAAAGTAAAGGTCAGTACGTACATAGATAAAGATAAGGATAAAGGCAAAGGTAAAAATAAAAACAAAAACAAAGTTGCGCAAAGATAAAGGCAAAAATGAAGCCCAAGGTAAATTTGAACACTTTACTTATATAAGGGGAAAAGTTGAAGGGGAATATGTATATGAAGAATATGATAAACATAAAAATAAAAACAAAGATAAATATAAAGAAAAATATGAGGTTGAGAATACCGATAAAAGTAAAGATGAAGATAGAGGAAGAAAGATTAAAATAAAGGTAGTTGTAGAGAAAAGGATATAGATAGAGGAACAGAGACTCAATCTGGGAACTATTTCGGGATTTTAGAGATTTTCGGGATTCTTGGAACTTATCGATATAATAACCGATATTTTGTCGGTTTTGTGATCGATTTTGTTATCGAAATTTTTATCGATATTATTATTGATTTTGCTATCGATATTTTCGGAACTTATCGATATAATGATCGATATTTGTATCGATTTTGTTATCGATATTTTGATTGATTTTGTTATCGACGTTGTTATCGATTTTACTGTCGATTTTATTATCGATTTTGTTATCGATATTTTTATCGATATTTGTATCAGTTTTGTTATCGATATTTTTATCGATGTTGTTATCGATATTTTTATCGAATTTGCTATAGATTTTGTTGTCGATATTTTTATCT